GGCCAGCGGTGGGGGGGGGGGGGTCCAGGCAGATCAAGTGGATATCTTTGAGGGGTTCCTTCCTTACTGGCCCTGGGGTCATCAAGCAGCTGGCCCAGGAGTTCACAGGGAGCTCCAGGCCCTGGGAGTCATAGTTGTCAAACTGGAATCAGGAAGCATCCAAGCACTGACCTCCATCCTTTGAGCGTTCTGTCTGACTCTCAAGAATAATCTCTCCCCAACTTCAAGAACACTTCACCAAACTCTTTAGAGATTGAGCAGGGTTTCCTGAATCCAGTCAACATCCTTAGGCCTTGGAACAACTGCCAAGGAGCTCCTGAACCTAGGCTGATCAGCCACCATGACCTCGGTCCTTATAGATGGGCTCAGCACCGATAATGTGCAAGAAATCGGAGGGGCCTGGGCCAGCTCCATAGAGGTTAAGGGAGCCAGAGCCCACGTGTCCAACCATACAGTTTGCGTGCTTGCCCAGTAGTTTAAATACCACACTAGGTGCATGTGTGTGTGCCCCAAATCTGGACAGGATGGTGAAATGGAGAAGGGATTGCATACCGTGTTGGGGAATGCTTTCTCCCTCTTCTTCTCTCATTCTCTGTCTCTCTGGCTCTATTTGGCACATACCTTGAGAATTAAAAAAAAAAAAAAAAAGTTAGGCTTGAAGAGGCAACCAGCTCTGAGACCGACATTGGTGGAAACGCTGAAGTGGAGACAAGTCTTGTATAGGTTCCCCTAACGCTTCAGATGCCCCCCACCCCCATAAGCCACACCAAAGACTGACAAATGCTAACACCCATTTCATGGCTCCCAGAATTCTGCTGAACTTAAAAGGCAACTAGGAGGGCCCCTGGGCTTGTCCACTCCCCTCCAGACTGTCTTCAGAGTGCTCACAGACAGAAGCCACATGGGTACCAAGGAGAACCAAGAGAGCCCTTTAGCCTGGCCCAGGCATCCTGCCCACTCTTGCGTCTTCTCGAACTCATGGTGTTCCTGGTGGAAATGAGCAGAGGTGTTCTTACAGTGGGAATTAGCCAACTTCGACCTACCTGGAGTCCTTCTGGGTGGAGAGGAGATTAACTATAAGAGCCATTGCAGCCCGGACCCTGGGATTAAAAATCTACGGTAGACCTTCAGAAGAGCCTTGCTCCGGGGGCTAATTACCATTATCCACCTTCCTCCAGATATTTTCCAAAGGATGCTATTAGAAAACTAATCTAAGCTTGGGAAAGGTAACTGAACTACCTGTAGTCCTCTTAGTCTGCCATTGAAGACGGGCCTCCAGAGGAACAGCTGGGTGCACCTAGAAATCAGGGGTGAGCTGAGCAAACCAAATGTGGTCCAAGGAGACCATGGAGGCTGCAAAAAAACTGGCCTCTTCTCAAAGATGTCTTTTCAGAGCAGGACCATCATTTCCCTCCTCGATCACAGAGACCTGGTGTCCTCAGAGGACTTGGCTTCTGGCCTGAGGCCTCTCCCAGCAGGGTCCAAGAAACAAAAGCTCTCTAACAATGAATGCCTGCATTTTGATTTTTTCTGCACCAGATATTAAGCTGATGCCCCAATGGGAGTTAGATCAGACAAGAACAAGGCAGCCCACCCCCCACCATGCATGTATTGTTTTGGAACTTGTTTCCTGTAAACTCAGCCAGACAGTGGATTAAAAACACTCCGGCCCAAGAATGCTGACTGGTGCCCGGTCCCCATGACACCTTTCAGTTCTCAGCCTCCTGGGTACTGGATGGTTCTGAGAACTTGCCCTACTATTGAATCAGATCCCCTCTTTCCTTCATATGCACCCATGTCAACCAAAATGCTTCTAGAAAAAAAAAAATAGAATGTCACTGGACTCCCATGTAGTCGACCATGGTTCGAGTCTTGGACCCGGTGGCTTAAACTCACACTGGGCACATGTGCGTGCGTGTGCCCAAGATCCTGAGAGGAGAATGGAGGAGAAGGGATTGTGGTGTGACCATCCCCATTAGGGGGTGATTTCTCGCTTTCTGTCTCTCTCTCTCTGTCTTTCTGGCTATAGCAAAAACCTCTCAAAAAAAAAATAGAATTTTTTTGTTCCTGAAGTGTATTGAGATTAAGGGTATCCTTTTCAAAGGATACTGTAAAGAACCTGCCATATTCGATAAAGAGGGTGACTGAATTACAAAGATGTATTCTGACACAACACAACCCACATGACTGTTGTGTGCACCTGCGTTAGTAAGGCCCTTTAAAAACCCCGGGGCCTCACAATTCACAAAGACGGGTACCAGACAGAGCCGAAGGGATACCAAAGTTTCATTGTGGCAGTGTTAGGGCAAAGCGAATCTGAGGAAGTGGGCTGGCGCCTTTTCTGATCTCTCAATTGAGAGCGATGGGTTTGGCCAAGCCCAGATGGTGACACTAACCCAGATATCAAGTGTAGCTGACATGGAGTCAGGCCAGTGTCCCCTGTGAAGGGAGCCCCACAGTGCCAATCAAATATGGCTCCACACTGAAGGTCTATTTGTAAGTCAAGAGCTGATTTCTCCCAAACACTCCCTCGTTACACAGAAAAGGGCCTCCCTTGGCCTCTGCAAAATAAAACCCAGATGGGATTTTTGCAAAGATCTGGGGCACATGGCCTTATTGGAACTGCATCAATACACTTGCACTCCTGGCTCCGTTCTGCATATTGACACTGGACAAGGACTTGCAGGCCAGAAAAATAAGCCCTTGGTTGAGCAATTGAAGCTAAGACCCTTAGCTGAAAGGCATGATAGAAGGGTGTGCTGTCATTTCCCTGGGGAACATGTGGCAGGTCTGTGTGGCCACACTCCAAAGTAGCCTTGTGGTGCTGCAGGTCTGAGGGGCTGCCTGGAAAGGACTGGAGAGTGGGAGCCCACGGGGGCAGCCAGTATGCTCCACACCACGACAGTGGACTCGCTGTGTTCTTCCTGGGAGCTGTCTTCCCTTAGAGCATTCTTCTCCCTCCCCCAATTCAAAGCAGAAAACACAGACTGGAGGCGGCTGTGGTTTGCAGCTATGTACTGCTGGGCGCTCGCGATACTTGCGGAAGACATTTCCATGCTTTGGAAGCAATGTTTTTCAGCTTTGAGTTTTTACCGAAAATTACCCAGGGGATTGGGAAGAACTTGGGGTGAAAGGAGAAGTACCAAAAAAAAGTTCCCCGTGTTTCCATTTGCCCCAGGCCATCTTGGCCAGGGGCCCACTGGAATTTTATTGCCTCTTGCTGCCAGACACCTACAAATATTTCTGGAAATCCCTGACAGTGCCTCATATGCTCCTGAATAAATCTGGTCATACACATAGGATGCCTGTTCTTAATTTTCTTTTCTTCTTCCAGCCCCCATTGTCCTGGCTTTTGGTTCTGCTAAGCGGTGTGATGACGCCCCCACCTCCGAAAGGCTGTCCTTGCCGAGACCACCATCAGCTCCGCCAGCCACCGGGAAGAGGCTGCGCAGTGCCTCTGTGGGTGCTGTTCCCTGCCTAGCCAGCCACTGCCCAAAGCCTTGGACACTGCTGCCAATGCAGGTGGTGGCGGGAGGGTCCCATAGCTCAGGGGTGCTAGGGCTGTGAGCCGTTCTGCAGCAAAGTGACTCGCACCCCTCCTGGTTACATATGTAGGGTAACCAAGAAGACTAAACAAGTTAGTAAATAACTAAATGTCCCAGCGGTAGCACTGAGCTGGTAAATTCAGCTACTCAAGCTGAGAGCACACGAGGCCTATGTTTGATTCCCACCTCATCGTAAAAGCTGGGCACCTTGGCATGTGGCTGTGGTCCCAGATACTTCGGGGACAGAAGCAAGAGGATTATGACAAAGTAGGACTCTGCCTTAAAAAATTAATAGTAAATAAGAGAAAGTACAAATAAAAATAGAGGGCCAGCCTGTGGCCTGGTAGTTAAGGCAGCTGGATTTCACATATCCAACAGCACAGTGTGAGTCCCAGACCTGGTGGCTTGAAATTGGGCCAGGCACGCATGTGTGCGTGTGCATGCCCAAAATCCTGAGAAGAATGGAGGAAAAGGGGTTGTAATGTGGTTATCCCCCCAGGGGGTGATTTTTCACTTTCTCTGTCTATCTCTCGGCTAGCAAACAGGTCCTATAGCACCCCCCCACACACACACTCACACAATTAAAGACGTTCGCCAGCTCCATAACTCAGCAGTTAAGAGAGCCTGTTCCCACATAGCTGACCGTGATCTGAGTCTCAGTCCCAGAGGCTTGAAAAACATGCAGTAGCGTGTGCATTTGTGCCCAAAATCCTGACGGGAGGGAGAAATGGAGGAAAAAGGATTGTAACAAGCATGCTTCACAGGGGAGTGCTTGCTTTCTCTCTCTCTCTCTCTCTCTCATGGGTACCCTCTGGCAATAAAAAAAGTTAAGGACACATTAGGCTAAGAAACAAAAATAAAACAAGACAGCATCCCAGCGCTCTTGGATTGACAACTATGACTTTCAAGACTTTCATGTCTACTCCAGAATTACAAAAAAACCTAGAGGAGTTTAAAAACTAAGAATTCAAGCCATTACCTCGATCCCAGCCACGCCTGAGGACGGTGCACATCAGAAGCTCTATCTGCTTCTGCAGTAGTAGGGCAAAGAGTAGAGGTAAAGGAGAATAGAAGAAACACCCAATTTAATGTCACACTATTACCCGACTACACAAAGGGTAATCATTGATTTCATGAGTCAGCCAACAAAGCACGTCCTCTAGAAGCCCTGACCTGGAGGAGTCCTTGGCTCTTTACCCAATGGACCTTGAATAAGAAAACATGTAAGACACAGCACAGGTTGAATCATACTTGGTCTTGTGCAATGGAAGTCAAATGAGAACTTCTGCCTACAGGGTTTCTACAGACAGACCTGCAATTACATCTTAAAAAGCAGGAAAAAATATCTAAGGTGAGTGAGGATGTGGGGAAATGGCTGCCCTCACATTGCCAGTGGGAGTGTGCAACGAAACCTCCTTTGTAGAGGGCATTTGGGCAAGAGCTAGCAACAGCTCACATGTACGTGTCCTTTCGTTTTTTAAAACAATATTTTATTTATGTACTTACGTATTTATTTATTTTGACCAGAGAGAGACACACAGAGAGAGAGACAGGGAAAGTGAGAAAGCAAGCCACTAAGTCTGGGATTCAAACCATGGCTGGCCATGTGGGAGTGTCCAGCACCTTAACCACCACGCCACCTGCTGGTCCTCTTTACTTTTTTTTTTTTTTTTTTAGATGGGAATATAACAATTTTAGGAGAGCATCTTGAAAAATGTCAGCACAAATAAGCAAAGATATTTACAGAAAGATTTCCACTAATGACATGTATCTAAGAGACAAAAGGAGATGAAATGATCTGTACTGGGTCAATATATTGCTGGCTATCTCAGCCTATTCATGCTGCAATAACAAAAGACCACAGACTAGGTAATTTATCACACCCATCTATTCCTTACAGTTCAGCAGACTAAGCGCCAGGTGTTGGCTACCCTCTGCTTCCTTGATGGCACCTTGCTGCTTTGCTATAACATGGAGGAGGGAAAAAGGGCAAAAGAGGCTAAACAGCTCCCTGAAACCTCTGTATTTTTTTTTTTT